GCTCATTTGCTTTTGCTTTTTTGTTGAATGATTCCAATCATAAATAAAGCTTTTAATACTTAAAATATATATCACCCATATTGGTACTATAGACTGAGATAGCTTATGGGGCTTTCCACATCTTCAGCAGCTTCAGAGAAATCCCTTGAGTATCACTCATGTTGCTGCTGTAGACTGAGATTCTTGAGATTGGCAGCAGCTTCTAAGAAAGCTCTCGAGAACCCAGTTTGGCACTGCAGGGTGGTGTTGGCTTCCCTGATCAACGTTCCCTTAGCTCTTCCAAACGTGTGCGTGCCTCTTATTGCCTATGTTAAAAGCACTCATGCCTGCAGAAACCAACACAACGTTGTAAGTCCACTATACTCCAATAAGAATTACTACTCCATGGGAATTCCCTGGTGGTCCAGTGGTTAGGGTTCTGTGCTTCCACTGCAGGGGGCACGAGTTTGATCCCCGGTTGGGGAACTAAGATCTAGCATGCCATGCGGCAGGGAAAAAAAAAAATTATTACTCCCCGCCCCCCTCCCCTCCCCAAAAAAAGCATTCATGCCTAGAATATACAGAGTGGCATCTGGTCTCTATTGAACCCTGACAGGTCAAGTACTGACCATATGTATAGAATTTCTGTCCTCTTGTGCAGACTCTGATGAGTAAGAAGGTCTGAACTATTATTCAAAATAATAAACTCTTCACATGTATATGGTTTTCTTTTCCTCATGCACCTCTGATGAATAAGATGAGTTTCACATGAAGTCCTTAATATCTTTTTCCTATATATGGAAGCTTCTCTCCCATGTGGGTTCTGAGATGGACACGAGGATGTGAACTCCAAATAAGCCCTTACTCCACTCATCCCATTGATGGCTGTTTTCATTCTTATCACATTCACTGCATTTACAGGATTCATCCCCTGAGAGAACACTCAGATGAGTGTGAAAACTCAGCTATATGCAAAATCCTTTCCACACACACAGCACTTGTAGGGCTTCTCCTCCTTATGGACTCCAGTGAATAGGAAGGTATCTGCTCTCTCTGAAGCTCTTCCCACTGCTATTCACAGTAAGTCCTCCCTCCTGAGTGAAAACTAAGTGGACTTGAGGAATATCACTTGAACTGAACTTGAAGAAACACTTTCCAGTCTCACCGCATTTTAGGATTTCTCTCCAATGTTCACCCTCTAGAGGACACGATGGGAGTTCCTGTCAAATCCCTCTCCACATTCCTCACTTGTTTAGAATTTCTTTCCTATACCGCTGAAACACAAATAAGTGACCTAAAGCCAAATCTCTTACCATGCACACTATACCTGTAAAACTATTATTCCCATGTGAACTCAATGATGGCTGTAAGAGATGACTCCCTTCTAAAGCCCTTACCACATTTATACTGTTTTCTCCCTGAGAGAACAAATTGATGTCTGGGAATATATGAGCTGATCAAAATCATACCAACTATGTTCTCTGATCATAATGGAATCAAACTAGAAATTAAACTAAGAAACAAAACAGAAAACTCTCCAAACATTTGGAAATGGAATGAAAATAAAAATACAACATATTAAAATCTAGGGGGGCTGAAAGGGAAATTCAAGACACTAAATGTTTACCTTAGTAAAGAGGAAAGGTCTCAAAACAATAGTCAAAATCCCACTCAGATAACTAGGAAAAGAGCAAAATAAATCAAAAGTAAGCACAAGAAAGGAAATAATAAAGAGCAGAAATAAGTACAATTAAAAACAGAAAAATAAAGGAAAATCAATGAAACAGAAAGCCGATTCTTTGAAAAGATCCATAAAATTGATAAGCTTCTAGCAAGACAAAGACATTACCAATATCAAAGATAAAATGGGGGATATAATTACAGATGTTGCAGCCAATAAAAACTTAATAAAGGACTTCTATGAACAACTCTATCCAGGTAAATTCAACAACTTAAGAGAAATAGACCAATTCTTTGAAAACCAAACTACCCAAATTCACCCAATATGAAATAATCTCAATAGTCCTATAACTATTGAAGAAATGTAATCCATAATTTTAAAACTTCCAAAAAAAGAAATCTCTAAGCCCAGATAGTTTCACTGAAGAATTCTACTAAACATTTGAAGAAGCATCAGCACCAATTATACACAGTCTCTTCCAGAAAATAGAAGCCAATATTATCCTGATACCAAAACTAGAGACAGTACAAAAGAAAGGAAGAAAGAACGAAAGGAAGGAAGAAAGAAAGAAAGAAGAGTTTATTTAGTCTGTAGCTAAGTGAAAACTTGAGGCAATCATAGAAATGTGACTGTTAATTATGTTAGGTGTGATAATAGCTTTCTGATCTTGTAAAAAAGAGTCTATATTTGAGATGCCTATAGGTGTAAGAGATGCCATCAGGGATTTGCTTTAAATTATTTTAGCATGTAAGATAAAAAGGAAAAAGGGATAGATTAAGCAAATGTGGCAAAATCTTGACCATTGTTCAATTTGGGTGATGAATATATGGGGTCCATTGTATTTTCTCTTTTTGACTATTCTGGACGTTTGTCATAATTAAGAATTAAAATCTTGAATGTTTAAAGCCTGAATTTTAGCAATACTGCTACTTGTATGAACTAGGGCAATGGTTTAACCCTTCCTCATGTTACAATGGGAATAATATCACTTACCTCACTGAGGCTTCAACATAGTAGGAATGGTGATCTTGAAGTATCCTTCAATGGATGTTAAGCTCTCTTTGTAAGAGTCATATCCCTTCTGAGAATGGACAAGATGTTTAACCAAGAAAGGAAATACTACTTCCTGGAATTTACTGAACTATCCTCCTTCTGGAAAAGGAGAAGGCAAATATGACAGACAGCCCATAATACTAGGTCAGTGGGGCTGAATGGAGAGCTGAATTCCCACTCCCCACCTCCCCACCTCACTCCCACCACCCACAGAGGTGAGGCAGTCCTAAGCAGTGCTCTAATGCCCCCCATTAGGCTGAACGGGGACAGCTGAACTTTCAGCAGCAAGGAGGCAGAGACAGTTGGCCCTCTGCCACCCCCCACCAGCCCCCCCCCCCC